CAGCCTGGTGAAAGTTCACAATGCACATGGCAGCCACTCTGTCCATTCAGGCCATTCACTCTCTAATAGTGTCTGAGTATGCTGCTGTGATCTCTAGACTCCCTAGATTCGGGGTAGTCTGAGGGGCTCCAAGCTACTCTCCCTCCGAGCACCAACTTCCTTCCCCACATTCCTTCCTGCTACCTATGTTAAAAGACCAAACAGAGGAGGCCAATCCCTCTGTAAACATTTTGGTGGCCTCCTGCGGGTTCTGAGCAGGTTTCAATCCAGCAACCTCTAAGGCCCCACTGGATCTGGCTCTGGTTCTTATCCAGCTTCCATCCATTCCGAACCCCCCATATTAACTCCACCCCACCCAAGATCCTCCAGTAAGGTCACAGTGCTACTCTGCTCTGCCTCACGCACACGCACACGCACACGCATGCACGCGCGCACACACACACTCCTTTCTCCTGGAGAAAGAGATTTCCTAAATGTGTCAGGCCATCTCCCATCCCTACGAGTTCTTTGTCTCCAACATCTGTTCCTACTTAGCCATAGTGCCCAGTAGCCCGGCTGTCTGCAGAAAGTGCGGAGACTTCATTTCCCCACATGTAACCTGGTTTTCGTCAGGAGCCCTGATCACCACAGTGAGAAGAAAAATTACTCCCCAGTTCTGTCTAAACAGTGTCTATTTTAAGAATGAAAATGATCACTGAAGGCCACATGCAGGCTTTCTTAGACAGTGCTATCTCCTGACCCAGCTCCCTTGGGTATATGACTAATGGGGTTCCCTGGAATAAATTGAGAATATACTATAGCGTGTTGGTGCGTGCTTTTATCCATAAAGATTGTGGTAACACAAGGAAAGTGACATAAATGCCTTGACATAAACATCATAGGTGTTTGGGTGTGGCTGGGATGAAAACAGCGAATAGGGGCTGAGAACAAAGAACTTCTCGGGGGTACTGGTTCCCATCACCTTGCTCATGTTTGTTGCTTCTCACCAGCTGTTTCCTCTTGAGCACCCCCTTTGGCTGTTTCTGACTTCACCAGGCTCTCACTCATCTTCTTTCCACATGTTCGCACACAGTGTACCCCACCCCCTTCCTTCAGAACTCACATGCACCTCTCTGGGACACTCACCACACACCCATGCCGTCACTTCTGTGCACATAGCCTGTTCTCACACATGTCATCCCATGTCAGTGTGCTCTCAGTCACCACACATGGAGGGAGGGCTCCGGACAGGGAGAGCTTCCCTGTCTCCCTCACAGCACTGTCCGCTGCTCCTGTCAACACCAGGAACGGGGAGATGCGGATTCAGTTCCTCTGATGGATGGCCTCCTCTGTGTCCATCCCCGTCTGGATGGTCTTCAGGAATGTTTGCTTCTCTGCCAACCAGCACTGGGCAGAGAATGCTTTTCCATGCTGGAAACCTGAAGCCAGTATCCATGTGGGACACCTGGAGAGTGTCCCCATGGCCAGGAAGCTGTGCTTCATTTTGATCGTTTCAGGTCAAGGAGGCACTCCTGGCTATGGCACTAGAGTGACATGCTTGCTGTGAGGCTTTGCTCCTCAGTGTTGTGCACACTTCCTGGCAGATGCCAGACTCCGTAGTGAGTGCTAACCAGGGAGCTAGTCTAAGGTGACTTTCAGGACAGTCTTAGGACCTGCTAATGTGGATTGTGCTGCTTCTTTTTCTCTAGTTCACACAATTGCCAGGAAGCCCATGTCTTGGCATGATAACTTGGAGGAGCCTGCAGATGGTGAGTGCTGGGCTTGAGAACACTGAGGCTCAGGACACAGAGGGGCAAGCTGGGGTAGACACCTCTCAGGGTTCTGCCACCTTGAGGCAAGTATGGGGTCCTCTTAAACTGGATTTAACCAAGGTCACAGGAGACTGACTTATTCAGCTACAATGCCAGGTTATTAACCATGAAGCCAACAACGATGTTCCTAATGTCCTAAGCCCACATCCATCCATCCATCCATCCATCCATCCATCCATCCATCCATCCATCCATCCATCCCCTGATTATTATCATATTAACTGATTTTAATTTTCCATCCCTCTACCCACTAAGCAAGTGACTTTGGGCAGTTCTCTAGTTTCCTTCTGTTGCTGTGGTAAAACACTCCAACCAAAAGTAATTTGGGGAGGAAGGGGTTTATTTCATCTTACATTTCCAGGTCAGTTTCCCTTGAAGAAAATCAGGGCAGGAACTCAAGCAGGAGCTTGAAGTAGAAGCCATGGTAGAAGGCTGCTTGCTAGCTCAGTCTCTGGCTCACTTGCTTACACACTCATGCTCAGCTAGCTTTCTTATACAGCACAGGACCATCTGAGTAGGGGTGAAACTGCCTATAGTGGGCTGAACCCTCCTACTCAAGACAGTCCCCCACGGACATGCCCACAGGTCAACCTGATCTAGATAATTCCTCGATCTAGGCTTTCCTCTCAGATGACCCTAGGCTGTGCCAAATTGACACTTAAAGCTAACTGGGACAACCGATGTTTTGGTTTTTATTTTTTTTTAACTTCTCTGAAATAATTTTTAGGGTTGTTATTAGAACTAGGCAGAATAATGCAAGTGGTTAGGATGGGGTGTGTAAATGTTGGCTGTTCTTTTCATAATTACCCTGTAAGAGAGTCCGTGGGCTGGGGCTAAAGAGGGCCCCATTATGAAGGAGAAGGAAGGAGGCTTGTGCTTACCTGGAGAGGAGTTAGGAAATGGGATGTGTGAGCCCATATCTAAGTGGTGCCTCTGCCAGGCAGCGGCACTCTGGGAAGAGTTTTTGGAGATTCCAGGTGGAGGCAGAGCCTCTCAGGGGAAGCCTGTGCAAGGACATTTCATAGTTTGTGAAAGGCACAGGAAGGAGAGACAGCAGCATGGTCTGAGAACTGTGTACAGCCTGGCTCTTGTCCTTGCTGCTCGAAGTGGGCTGTCCCTCTGTCTCTCCGTGTGGAGGCCCAAATTATTCAGGGTCAGAGAATCTGGGCTTACTTCACCCAGCAGGGCTGCATAATGAGGTGATTTGGGCATGGGTGTGTTTACCAGGTGTTTGGAAAGGGTCTAGACTTGGCCGTATGGTGTGCTTTGATCTTGCAAGGGGCAGGTCTTTTGCTTCTCCCCTTGGCATATGATAAAAAGCCCTTTTCAATAAAGGACGAGGCTGTTGGGTACTGACCCAGGCTCTCTCAAAGCTTGTATTTATTTCTTCTTGTCAGCTAGGTCTCTCTTTCTATCACTTCCTGATTCCTCTCTTCTCCACCTAAGAACCCTTCAAAAAGTGGGAGCTGGACCCCCACATCTTCCCAGGGCTGCTTCCTGCTCAACATCCAGAGTCCCCCTTTTCTCACTAGCTGTGTGACAGTGGCTAAGTTTCTAAGCTGCTTTGTGACTCAGTTTCTTCGTCATGACATGGAGGTATTGCAGTTCCTGCTCCTTTCTCTGAAGCATGGGTCACTTTTGGGGAGGTTTATGTGTATGCCTGAATATTCTGTCCTTTGTTGTCCATCTACACCACAAGCCACGGGATAGCAGGGCTCTTGTCTGTCTTGCCTGAGGTTCTGCCCCCAGGACCCAGAATCCAGCCTGACAGAGTAGTTGAAGGTGGGCAGAGAACCAGATTTCTACATCTTGGGGCCTGGGCCAATCTGAGGCCATTACTTTTTCTCTATGGGATCCCATGGCTAGGTCAAAGATAGGGAAACAGACTTTTTGTCCAAGAGTCTGACTCAAATTCTAATTTCTAAAAAATTATAGTATAATTGCATCATTTAGTCCTTTCCATTTCCTCCCTCCACTGTATCCCATGTATTCCCACATTATTTTTTTCTCAAATCCATAGCCTGTTCCTTTAATCATTGTTATACATACACACCCTGATCAGTCTATGTAATGTTACCTGTATTATATGATTTCAGGGCTTCCCACTTGGTATTATTGGCTAACCAATTAAGGGCTCTTTCATGGGAAGACTATTTTCCCCGCTCTCAGCATCCTATAGTTGTCTATAGTTTTTGGTGTAGGGCTGAGGTCTCATGAGCCTTTATCCTTCCATGTTAGCACGTCTGTTGGTGGTGTCATTGTTGAGGTCTTGTGTAGGCAGCCATGTTGGTGAGACTTCATGGGGGTGGCGTCTATGGAATTTCTAGGATACATAATCTCACAGCAAACTTCCTGTTTCTCTAGCATTTACAACCTGTCTACCTTCTCTTCCTCAATAGTCTCCGAGCCTTAGGTGCAGGAACTGTGTGGTAGCTGTGTTAACCGGGACTGGACGTCACATGAGCTCTTGCTCTTTACAGCTTGATGAGTTGTGTTTTTCCGTAATGGTCTCCATCTGTGGCAGAGAGAAGTTTCTTGGATGAGGAGTGAGAACTGCTCCCATCTGTTGGCATACAGCTAAATATTTACTATGCAATTAGGGATTTGTGCTGCTTTAGTAAAGTGATGGGTGTAGATTCTCCTCTAAGATCCATGACTTCACTAGTCCAGGGCAGCTGGCTAGTTTTCTAGTTCCAGGCATGGTTTCCCCTTTTTGAGCGGGCCTTAAGGCCACCTAGACAGCTGTTGGTTTCTACCAAGGTATGCACGCCACTATTACACCCTTAGGTTTATCATGCCATGCTGGTTGTTGTGGTGGTTTCTGCTCCCCTTTTTAACTGTGCCTCAATTCCAGCCAAGTTCCTGAACCTCATCCACCATGCTGCACAGGGCCCAAGGAAGAAATATGCAGAGACACAGACTGAAACCCAAGAAATTGGATGGGACCCAAATCCGCTGGTGAGCATGGCTCCTTTGCTTAGTGGTACCTGGGAGCATAACAGCATGGCCGGGGGCAGCCAAGAGGACAGGTTGGGAAGGCAGTCTCGCCCAAGGTTGAAATCTGGGTTATATTTCCTAGTTATATGACCTTGGACAAGTCACTAAGTTGCTTTGTGACTTCGTTTCATAGTTATGATATGGAAATACTATAGTACCTATCTCACAGGGTTTTTAAGTGCAAGAAAGAAGGTGTAAGAATATAGAGAGAATAATAAAGGTAAGGCGAAATATGAAAATAAAAAGAATATTTGTAAGGTGCCTAGAACTGAGCCTGGCACATAGACACACCACTTCTCAATAAACATGGGGTGAGCTGCTGTAAGGTGGATGGGAACAATCAGAAGAGGGAGCCCAGCATCCAGCTGAGCCCCGAGTCAGATGCTGACCCTGGGCTTCTTGGCTTGATACACATCTTCCTCATCCACTGAGAGACTTTGAAGCATCCTCCACTCCCAAGAGCTCTCTGCACCCTGTGTGTCTCCCTCCTGTTCTAGGGGCCCGGCTTCTCACCCATTCTACAGTTCTAGTCTCAGCAGTCTCTGTCTTTTCGTTTGGGGATCTTCAATGTGAATGTTCACAGATTCATGTCACAGTGCAGAGTTTACTTTTCAGGGCCACTCTTTTCCATGGGGATTTCAATAAAAAAAAAAACAAAACTCTGTAAGTCCAGTCTTTACCACTGCTCACCTGCAATGGCTCCTTTTCAGATAACGGGGTATTGTCTGGGAGAGAGAATCCCTCAGGAAACGGGGGAAGGATGCCAGCAGGGACCTAGAACTGACCTCAAGAAGGCTGAATGTAAAAGAGAGAGAAAGGGATGGCTAGAGAGCTGGAGAAGCAAAGACCATTCAAAGCAGAAAAAGAGAGGGGTGGGAGAGGAAACTTGGTGAATGAGGGAGGAGTGTGAAAGAAGAAATTATTCAACGGCAGTGCTGAAGATGGGTGATAAATCAGTTATCCGGTGATTGCTTTAAAAATGGAAGGAAGAAATTATTCAGATGAGGGAATGGTGCTCTGGGCAGTAGCCCAAGACTGGGATTTGCAGTGAACAGAGACTGGGCTGAACTCAGTGTGGGCAAGTGAGAGAGCCTGACTGAGGACCGACATGTGGGGGTCAACAGACAGAGACTGCTGACAGAAAGCTCCAGGGATGAGGGGGACTCAGGCTGACCTAACCTGAGGGGATCATTGCTGAAGGCAGGAAAGGTGAGCAGACTTCACACGTGGGGTGGTGGAGACAGAGAACCCTGGTGGAATTTGGAGAGTGAGAACACACCACTAAGGGTGGTGGTTTTTGTTAGTGGACTTAGCAGGGATTTTGCTAAAACTGGACAAGACAGGGATGGATATGGAGGTTCTGAGAGACAGACCTAATTAAATAGAGCACAGGCCAGCCTGAGCAGTTTGGTCAATGAGAGAATCTTTTCCACGTGAAAAGGAAAGAAAATCATGGCAAAGGTAGAAATTGGGTTCATTAGGTAACAGATCAATACAGAAAATTATTACAAAGTACAAATTATTTGACTCAGCATTTCTCCCTTTTTAGAGAGGTTTATTGTGGATTCATAGATGGTTACTCAAGAGGAAGATAGCCAGCCTCTTTGTATAGAATGAGATTTATGTGTCACAGTGCTCATGCTCCATACTCTCTCAACAAGCTCACACTTTTGTGAGGTAGCACATGCAAGGGGCTGTCCCAGTAGCCTGGCTACAGTATATATATATATATATATATATATAATCTCCTCTGTGAGCTACTTTCCAGGGGTGGTGAGTCCTTAGGCAAGGCCCCCTTCAGGCAGCAGGGGATCTTCGATGTGCATGTTCACAGATCCATGTCACAGTGCAGGGTTTAGAAAGGAAAAGCCCTGCTGTCACAGGGTTGTGGGTCTGATTCAGACCTGACTCTCCATCATGTGAACCCTAGTCTGCCTCCTTCCTGACAGATTTCCTTCTGATCCTGTCCTCTCCCCTTTAGGTCAGTCCAGAACGTCAGGACAACAGGCTGAACCACTTCAGGGTCTACAATGACATCACTCTGTACAAGGCTAAACTGTGGAGCTTGGGGGAAGATGATCACCAGAAGTAGCATTCTCTCTCGGGGGAGTGAGGCTGCATGCTGAATTCTCAAGGTGTGCGCCGCCCAGCGAAATAAATGCTGCTCTTGTTAAAAATTACACAAGACATATTTCACAGGCTATCACATTATGATTTAGAGTCAGGTAGTGTCTGACTAAAGAGTGCTTCAGGAGGCCTTGCAGCATCACATAGGCAGAGGGAAGAGGAGGCATCCACGGAGAACGGAAGTGAGGTAAAGAATCAACCTGATTGGTTGTAACCTGTGCCCATCTTATTTGTACTGGTTTGAACAGTTGGCCACTGGTGATGGCAGTTGAAGCTCAGCTGCTTGTGTGAGAGAAGGTCTCAGACAAAATATAACAAAACGAACAAACAAAATGTCGGGCATGGCAGTGCAAGCCTTTAATCCCAGCGCTTGGGAGGCAGAGGCAGGCAGATCTCTTGAGTTCGAGGCCAGCCTGGTCTACAGAGTGCCATGACAATCAGGATTACACAGAGAAACTTTGTCTCAAAAAATGAGGGAGAGAGGGAGGGAGGGAGAAGAGGGGGAGGAAGAAAAGGAGAGAGAAAGCAGAGGAGAGTCTCAGTGTTGCACAACAGGTTAGGTTGAACTTTACTACCGTGTTCTGCTTTTGTTTCTGTCCCATGATAAACACCCCGAGAAAAAGCAGCATTCGGAGAAAGGGGTCACTTGGAAACGGTCCCATCAGTTCAGGGAAGTCAAGGCCGGAACTCAAGCTGGTCTCATCCTCAGTCAAGAGCAGAGAGACAAGTGTACCCACACTGCCTGCTTGCTGCTCCGTCTGGACATGAAATGGTCTGCCCCCCACATTCAGGGTGGGCCACCCTGCCTTATCAATCAATACAACCCCTGCATGCATGCCAACAGACCAACCTGACCTAGACAATTCCACATAAAGACTCTCTTCTCAGGAGATTCTAGGCTGTGTCAAGTTGACAGTTAAACTAACCAGCACACCACATACAGAAAACTGCCCAAAACTGACAAATGGAATTTTGCAAAGCAAAGGAACTAGCTAACTGAAGAGCTTGCCCACATAATGAAAAAAAAAAAAAGTTTGTGTTATTTGTGCAGAGGATCAGTATCTAGAACATAACACTGATTCAGAAAATTAAGCCAGAAATCAATCCAATCAATAATAGCCAAATGGAAATGGGCAGTTCTCAAACAATGAAACAAAATGGCCAGTAACACATGAAAAATGTGCAGTCTCACTAGCCACCAGAGAAATGCAGATCAGAACTATGCAGGGATTCCAGCTTACTCAGAGAACGCTCACTCACTGCTGGTGGGAGTATACACTAGTCTGGCCACTGTGCAAGTCAAGATGGAGATTACTAGAAAAACTAAAAAATGGGTGGTGGTGGCGCATGCCTTTAATCCCAGCACTCGGGAGGCAGAGCCAGGTGGATCTCTGTGAGTTGGAGGCTAGTCTGGTCTACAGAGCAAGATCCAGGACAGGTACCAAAACTACACAGAGAAACCCTGTCTTGAAAAACAAACAACAACAACAACATCAAAACCTCCCAAAAAACCAACAAACAACAAAACAAGATCAAAAAACAAAAAACCCTATTGCCCAAAGGATTCCAAGTTGGCATGTCAGTGTTTACTGCAGTGATTTTCACAATAGATGAACTGTGGAACCAGACTCAATATCCATCATCAGAGGAATGGATAGAAGACATGGGGTTTACATACACAATGGAATCTTCTTCAGTCATAAAGAAAAATGAAATTATGTAGTTTGCAGGAAAATGGATAAAACCGGAGATGATATTAAGTGAATTAAAGCCATCTTAGGAAGACAAATATTGTATGTTCTTCTCATTTCAGCTTCCTAGATTTTATAGCAAAACAAAATTATGTATGTACAAGTGAAATTGTGCAGGACAACAGTGACTAGCTGATGGGAGGGGAGGAGAGAAAGGGTAGGGTAGGGAATATGGACGGGGATTTACTCCCAGTCCAACGTATACTGGAATGAAAATGTCCTTGTGTAACACAATACCATGTAGAATGAGTATGCACTTCCTTCTTTTCCTTACTAATTATTATTATTATTTTGAGATAGTCCTATTATGTAGCTGTGGTTGGACTGGATTTATGTAGACTAGGTGGGCCTTGAAATCACAGAGATCTATCTGCTTCCATCTCTTGAGATGTGGAGCAGAAGAGGAAGTTATACCAATGAACAAATGGAAATCCAGAATTAATGAATGAGGTCCTCCCTGAAGACCTCTGCCGTACGAGAGCAAAGGGAGCTGAGGAGGTAAGCGGGTTGGCAAGATGGCTCACCTCCTGTCCAACATGCATAGGAGATATTTACCCAAGCGCGCTTCCTGCTTCAGTCCAGGGCTGGGTCTGCAGAGCATCCCAGAACACTTGGTGTCTCTACAGGACTTGGCCTTTAGCACTCAGCAGGTGGAGGCAGGCAAATCAGGAATTCAAGTTTAAAACAATAGCAAACAAGACAAAACAAGAAACATAATGACAAAAAGAAAGGAAAAAGAAAATCAATGCACTTTGCTCTACTAAGCTATCTTCATTTTCATAGTGATTAACATCAAAACCAGCTAAGGATGTGGTCCTCAGTGAAAGGGGAAATCAGAGTCAAAAGTAAACCAAATCAGTCCAAAAGGAAGTACTGAATGAATGATTATTATGATTGTAAGTTTATTATTATTTTATGACAAGTTAAAAAGTTCCTATTTCATCCAGGCTAAGAGTACTCCAACCTACTGAATGTGTCCTAAAGATAATGCAGAAACTAAATAGTTACTGTGGTTATCATTTGATCAAAGTGTCCCCGTGTCACAGGAGCCACCGAATTAACATCACAAATGGGTTGAGCTGCATCGGAATCCTGGACTCATGTTCATATTTGGGGCATTTTCAAAAGCTCTGAAGGACCTGCAGAGGTGGATCACATCACACCTTTCTGGTTCACCTTTCGTAGACTCTGCCTGCCATCTTATGTGAGATGTGCAGGGCAACATTAATGCTGTTGGAGAAAAGGAAATACTATGGAGAAGGGCTTCAGATGAAAACAGCATTAACGAAAGTAGAGGGATAAAAAGATTAATCTTTGTTATTCTAATGCATTATCTTAGAGTTGCTTTTGCATTTGTTTTGTCTTTGGAAAACAACATATTTATAAACATTTCTAATATATAAATGTATATTAGTAATTATTTTATTTGTAAAAGTGATACTTTAAAAATGTTCTAAATTTATTACCAAGAACTTACTGTAGGCTTATCACTTGCCAGAAATTGATGGGATGTATGCTCTGCCATCTAAAGCTTTGTTTTTTTAAACTCTATTTTCATCCTTCACCTGAAATGTTGTGTATTAGGACACTATTCTTCATAAGAAAGGTTTCAGGTGTTTCGGGGGCTGAATTCCTTGGTGGAATAGAAACAGGTGCTGGAATCAGCTCAACCAACAGTCAAGACTCGTTGCTTCGAGTAAAGTGGAAGAGACTGAAAAGGAACCCCCAAGTCCACACGAAGTGAAAAAGCCCAGACATTGAATGAGAACATTCTAACATACAGCTTTATTTTAAAATTCCAAATACTCCTATGAATATCTGAGTGAATCACTAGTTGTTTGCTGGGGAAGCAGGGGCATTTTTTATTTTTATTTTCCAAGACTGAAATACAAAGTTAACAAAAGAAGATACCCAGCCTAGCAGTAAATCTGTATAAAAACACTCAGCCTCAGAAACTACCAGGGAAATACACACAGGAAGCAGAATGAGGTGCTGCCAGACTTCCTGAGTGGAAAGGGTTGATAAAGCCTGGGGCAGCCGCACCCTGTGTGAACTGCTTGTGGGAGTTCAAAAGTAAACAATCTGATAAAAGGTTCATCATCCATCAAGCAAGTGTATCTACATAAAAATGTAATTGAAATAAGGTTGAAGGCCTTCCACATGTCCATCACAAATCAGGGAACAAATGGTGGTTTTTGAAACACTGGGCACCATTATCAATTTAAAAGAATAGCTCTGGGGTGTATAAAAATGCAGAGAATCTTCACAATGTATTAAACACACACACATACACACACACAAACACACACGCACGCACGCACACGCACATGCATGCACTCGCACGCACACGCGCACCCACAGTGCCATCAGTGTCCAGCGATGGAACAGTATAGGATGGAAATGGAATTCAGACTAGTCTTGAATCCGTGGGCAGATGTTTCATTAGAAAAGACTCAAGAAACCCCTGTGCAGTTTTGGACTTTGCATCTCTTGGTAACAAGCAGGCACAAAGGCTGAGATCGGTAGAACTGTCAGGAAGATAAAGCTTGCTGTGAGTGCCCTCCACCTTGAAAAGGGTGACTTGAAACCAGCTGGCAGTTAATACTCAAAGTTACTTCATTCCCTGCTGGTACCAAAATCCGGGTGTAGTGAGGCCTGAGAGCTTTTCTCAGCGAATTTGTGATTTTTCCGGTTTGTTGAGGGTTCATTTTGAAATGAGACGGCAGCTCTGTAATCAGCTCCCAGCATGTGGTTTTACCAAAACCTCAGAGTAAAGCAGAAAATAACCAGGACACGGGCACAGACGCACACGTACAGCCCTTACTCGTGGCCTCACTTTCCACACCCAGAGCTGCCTGAGACAACTGCCAGTTGGATAACAGTGAGAACTTCCAGAGGGAGTCAACTTCCAGTGCTACCTGCTGAGCAACATGTCGAGACGGCTTACAGTGCTGGCACCCAGTTCTGGCCAGCGTATCCACTCTGTGTACGCAACCCACCCATCTGTCACAGAGGAGCCACCTCAGTTCTAGTGACCTTTATTTCCCCAAAGTGTAAAAGCTGTCATACTGAAATTTAGATGTGTTAAAGACACACTGGCCGGAGACTGATTGTGCATGACTTTTTATCTCAGTGTTTGGTTGGCAGAGGAAGGAGGATCTCTAGGTTCAAGGCCAGCCTGGTCTACATAGTGAGGTCCAGGAAAGCTAGGGCTACACAGAGAGACCCTCTCTTGAAAACCCTTCCCCTAAAGACAAGCTGTAAGGTACTTACCAAGTTAAACTATGGAAGCTCCCCCTTTACTAAAGGAGGAAGTAGCCTGCTGATTTTGCTAATGCCCTCAGTAGGAATAAAGGTGTCCATGAAATTGAGAGGAAGGACAAACTCTTTCAGTTTTGCTGAAATTCCTCTGCTTCCCCCAGTTCCAAGCACAGGATAGAAGACTTAAGGTAGAAAATAAAATCAACAACAGAGCTTGGAATTCTCAGTGGCCTCAGGTATCCCCTGGGCATCCTGAGACATTATCCCTGGGAAGGGGACTACTGTATACCTTTCCTCTTTGTACAACCACCCAAATCCAAGCAAACCAAGGCATCCTTTCTAGTGAGGGGAGCGCAGTGGGTAACACGCTTCCTCAGGCTGCCCTTGACCTCACTGTTCCGAAGACTGTAGATGAGGGGGTTCAGCATGGGGGTGACAATAGTGTAGAATGCGGATACAATCTTGTCATGCTTAGCTGACCTGGAAGATGTGGGCCTCATGTAGATGAAAATGGCAGCTCCATAAAAGAGTGCCACCACTGCCAGGTGCGAGGAGCAGGTGGCAAAGGCCTTCTTGCCGGCTTCTACGGATCTCATTTGGAGGACAGTGGCCAGGATGAGGCCATACGAGGTCAGGATGAGGGATAAGGGGACCAGAAGCATCAGCACACAGCAGATGTACATGACAAACTCAAAGGCAGCCGTGTTACCACAAGCCAGGCGCAACAACACAGGGGCCTCACAGAAGAAGTGATCCATTTCATTCCCGCGGCAAAACCGGAAGCTCAGGGTGGCAGCGGCCTGCATGGCTCCATCAGCTGCTCCCAGGAGCCAAGACCCCAAGCTCAGTCTCAGACATAACTGCCAGCTCATGAGAACCGAGTAGCGCAGTGGGCGGCAGATAGCCACGTAGCGGTCGTAGGACATGGCTGCTAAGAGGAAGCATTCTCCACCTTCTAGTGTGAGGAAGATGAAGATCTGGAAGCCACAGCCAGAAGCAGAGATGGATTTCTTGCCCGTTAAATAATGAGCTGCCATTTGGGGCACTATGGTGGAGACCAGCATCATGTCCATAAGGGAGAGTTGGCTCAGGAGAAAGTACATGGGTGTATGGAGCCGGCGGTCCTGGTGAATCAGGAGAAGCAGGAGGGCGTTGCCTGCTACGGAATTGAGGGCCACAGTCAGAACCAGCACAAAGAGAACCAGGTGGGCTCTGGTGTGGTTAAAGAGTCCCAGGAGAATGAACCCTGCTGTGGCATTCCCCATGTCCATGATCTACAGCAGAAGCGACACCTCAAACGGAAGATCAGAAGAGAGTTTCATCATCTGCGATGCTGTGTGAACTACATCAACAGAGAAGGTTGATTCATTATACCGTTGAACTCACTGTCCTGGTGAAATGTGTCAGTTAGACCTTGGGAATGAAAACACTTATTTTAATGTGTGACTGTGTTGGAACATTTTGCAAGCACAGATGGCCTTCCTCCTTTAGTAAATGGGGAGCTTCCCTAGTTTAACTTGGTAAGTACCTTACAGCTTGTCTTTAGGGGAAGGCTTTTCAAGATGCCTGGAAGGTTGCCTATGAGAAACGGTGAAACCCACTTCAAGCCCATCTGTGCTTGCAAAATGTTCCAACACAGTCACACATTAACATAAGCCTTTTCATTCCCAAGGTCTACCTGACACATCTCACCAGGACAGTGAGTTCAATGGTATAATGAATCAACCTTCTCTGTAAGCTGCAAGTAACTCCTGACTTTCCATTACCTGATAGCCACATAAATGGTTGAGAACTATTTGTGAATTTGTCATTTATGGTTTCATGGGCATTCCGTTTTGCATCAACAAGTCTTAGGAGCATAAGTAAATATTGGTTATATACAACTTAGGGACTTGTTAATGTAGGTGACATATTTACTACATCAAAATTTTTGCTTATTTATTGAGACAAGGGGTCATGTATCCAAGGCTGGCCTTGAATTTGCTATGTCGTAAAAAATGATCTGGGAACTCTGATCTCATTGTCTCTTCCTCCTGATTGCTGAGATTATAGTGATGTGCCATAATGTCTGATTTATGTCACGCTGGGGATTAGACACAGGGCTTTGTGCATGGCATGTAAAAATTCTACCTCCTAAATCACATCACTTTACTGAAAACACCAAATTCACATGGTTCTAACACTGAATAATAAAAGTCTCGCCAAACAAAGGGGTGTTTGCTCTTGGATCTAGAAAAGGAAGTCAGACTCTGTGGACAGAGGCTTAACTCGCCCTGGGGTAGGAGTTAACTTGGTTCTGTTTACATATGTTGACCCTTCAGATGACAACAGCCTTCTTGGGGGTCTCTCCTGTGCGAAGCTGTAATGCTAAATGCACACTTTAATGAACTGTTCCAAATATTTGCTCTATTAGACAGCCCCTCCCTCTTTACAGCCACACAAACTCTCCCTTTGTGGATAACTCAGAGACCCCAGCTCTTGCCTAATTGTAGAGAAAACAATTATTCCTGCTTCATTCTCAGGGGACTTTAAAGCTTTACTTTCATTTTAACCTTTGACTTGCTGGTGCCAAGATTGTTTGAGCTTATTGAATCAAAATGTCCACCCTACAAAGTTGTGGACACTAATTCATTCTCAAGGTCCCTGTCGAGTTCAAATATCTTGAGGGAGCCTGAGCCTTCTGGGGTACCTCCCGGGTTTCTTCTCAGTTAAAAATCACAACTATGGCTGAAACAATGGCACTATGACTCACTCAGCCCCTGACCAAGGCCCTGAGAATTTTAGTTGTTTGAAAGGTAAATATTTTGGAAATTATTTTATTTTTTGAAAGTTACTTTGAAAGTATGTGCTCTTTGCTCAGCTCGGGAGTTGCCCACATTCCCAGTTCTAACATACACTTTTGCTCCATGGAAACTCTATGGAACCATGGCCACCTCTCTCAGGACATCACACTGCTGACCACTCGGAACCCTTCTAACATTTTTTTCACTGTTCCAACTTCTCGTTATCGAAGATTGGTGAAATTTTAATTTGGTGTCATTTAGCCGCTGGAGGGCAGGGAGCAATTTTCTTCAATTAATTTCTGCAGCCACAGTAACTGTTTTATGTGACATAGTCACTCGGGTTGTCATTAGGTGCCTTCCCTGCCAGAATCCATCTTCTAAATTCTCTTAATGCCTCCAAATGAGAACTCTGCACTCTACTAGGCAACTCCCTGTTCTTTTTGCCCCCACCCGCTGGCAACCGCTATTCTCTCTCATGTGTCCCTGGGACACATGGATGCTGGAATCCCACAGCACCCATCTATTTGTGACTGTACCTCACTATAGCCGGAGTCCCGAGTGCTCATGGATGTCACGTCTGACTTCATTTTTCAGGAAGTTAATGGTCCACTGTGTGGCATATTGTGATTGTTGTTTACTCGTCTGTGGCCTTTCCCTTCCGTTGTGGATACGAGGGCACCAATTTAATAAGATGCTTGACAACAGATGTTGGAGTTTGTATTTTGGTAAAGAAATAAGGTTCCACACAAAGCAGCAGTGATGAATCTTCGTTTTAAACATGTAAGAGAGGTATATGTGTTTTCAGAAAACCAGTTCAACAGCTTTCCCTTACCTCTCTGGGTTTTTTTTTAGAACACATTTTCTGTTTTATTCTATTTATACAACACTGGAGACTGAATATAGGGCCTCAAATAGGCTTGGCAAGCTCTCTCTCAATGAGTTATATTCCCAGCCCTAGAAAATATATATTATGAAATTTCTACTTATATATAAGTAATTTTAAAATTAGAAGTGATCTGCTCAACTTCTTAGTGGCAATATATGATATATGTATACATTTTAAAGGTGAAATAAATGATTAAAACTCATCAGTCATTATGAATCTAGTCATGTGGTCAACTTGTATTTATTAAAGTATTGCCTATATCTCTTTATACAAATGAAACAAGTTACTACTAATTAAAAATACCTCCAGCCTGACCAGTGCAGGCAATGGGGAGCTGTTCTACCTTGGAAAACAAGGGCTTCCTTTTCCTCTCCTTGCTCTGTGTCCATTGAGTCAGACATACCCTTGCTACATTTCCGTAGTTCTTTCTAGAATAGTGGGAACATGGTGGCATCTTTACTCAAAACTATACTCACATCTTTTGCATTTCAAATTGCAGGCTGAGACAGATGCCTTCATTTTCTTCTTACAAAAGCCTCTTGAGAAACCACAGAAGAGTCAGAATGCATAATATCCTTTCTACATTTCCCCAAATTCATTGTTAATATGTAATTTTAAAAGTCTAAATTTCAGGATACTGAAATGAATATTAATCAGTATGTGAAAAATAAGGCAGCATCAGAGGACTTGTTTATATTAATAAAATTATGGGTTTCTTTTGAAAGAATTCACCTAATGCCAGCACCCACTTGCACACATTTTAACTCATCAAGTACGGAGACATGTCTCTGGGAAGAGTTTCTTTGTAAAATGTACAGAGTGGTGGGTCTGGTTTTTCTATGTAGCTGAGGGCTCTTTGTTCCTCCAGCCTCCACCTCCTAAATTCTGGGATTTGCAATTAAAATTTCTAGAGTTAAACTGCACAAAGAAATAATCAGACATGAAGAGGTTGTCGTACCTACCTACAAGAGTCAAAACTAATGCCCGGCAGCCTGTAACTGCACAACTCAGAGACACATCTGGATGTCCCCACCTGGAGGGAAGCTGTGCCTAGCCTGGCCCTTCGCCTCCCTTATATCTCTGTCTGGACTGACATGTCATGAGGATGGCCCACTGCCAGCCTGGGCTGCAGACACTATCCTATTAACAATACCCCAGAGCTGCCGGGGTGAGAGTTCGGTTGCCAAAAGTGTTCACTGTGCTGAGAAATTAAAACAATTCCTAAGAGATTGCAAATTTTCTGCACATATCATAAAGTCGTGAATCACCGAAATGACAGAGAATCACACAAGAAAAAAAATAAAATGTAAATAAATGTCTTTGAAAGGGTATTGTGATTTCAAATGTATGAATCAGGAAGTCATATGATTTTGGTATTCCTTGCACAGACTTCAGCAGATAGGAGGATTATCTTCCATTCAGACCAGCTCAATTGTCAAAACAGCAATTGAAATAAAGAAGCCTGTGAAATTTTTTTTTCCTTCTTGGACTCAATTTGAGACAATTAAAGTTGTATTGTATGTACCTGTTTGTGTGCATTTGCAACAGGCTGTTATATTTTTATTTTATATTTTCATTTTTTGTGTCTGTATAGTAAAATAATAAAATAGTAATAGTAATAATAATAATAATAAAAACAATAACAGTAACAGCATCTCCAGGCTATATTCATATCGATGACACTTCCCAGGGTGAATGTATATGGATCTGTGTGTCCTGATGTTTGACCGTTTGCTTTTTTTTTTTTTAATTTGATATAATGTTTTTCTGTGTAACAGCTTTGGCTGTCCTGGAACTTGCTCTGTAGACCAAGCTGGCTTCAAACTCAGAGATGTCTGTCTCTGCCTCCCGAGTGCTGGGATTAAAGGTGTTTGCTATCACTATCTGGCTGACTCTTTGCTTTTGATGATTTTCAGTGCTGGGCATGCTGGGAACTTGGATCCGTGCCTTGCAACTTCTGAGTTATCTACTGCTATATAGAAACCACAGATTCTACAACTGGAAACAGATAATTTGAAACAAAACAAAACGAAATTTTTTTTTATCATGGATTATGTGTTAGGGAAATGGACCTGTTAAAAAATGTAAGATAATTTGGTGAACTTCAATCCCCATTTAAATTTAATTAAAGGAAAGTACAGATTTTTTAACATTACTTAACATTTATTTACTTATTTATATGAAACTGAGTGTCATATAGCTCAGGCTGGCTTACAAGCAAATTATTGAACTAAGTTAGTAGCAGAGGCTGGCCTTGAACTCCTGATCCTCCTACCTCCACCTCCCAGGTGCCGGGATTGCCACCACAGTGGGTTTGTTTATATGTTGCTGGAGATGGAAGCATTTTCCAACTGAGCTACTCCCCCAGCTCTTTGCATACATTTCTTTCATCAGATGTGGAACTTTATCAAACTGGCAAATCCTACTTGAATTCATGATTGATCGAATGTGTATAGTCTAAATTTAAATCCACATTGTTGTATTTTCTGAAAAAGCAAACAGCAAAACCCTCTAGGCTCCAGGTGAGCAAAGTGTGACCACCATGATACTCAGCGTAGAAGCTTTCTACAGGAGTGTGGCCATCCTTCCTAACAGAGCGTAGGTCCTTTTCTGTTTTGGCCACTGCTGTGCTGGGCTTTAGAGGCTATCAAGTGATGCTGCCCTGTCACAGAATTGACATTGTTGCATGAC